TATTTGATGGTTGATTGCATTTTAATTTTTCCTCCATCTCCTCTCTGCTGCCCTTAAGTTTTTTGACTTCTTCGTTTCTCCATGGTGATGCATGTTCTTTTTGGTGGTGAGTGGAGCAACGGAGTCAAGGCTTTTCTTCAATTTGCTGTTAAAATGATTAAAAATAAAATCGCAGGGTTCAGGTAAAATCACAGGGGGGGCATTCATCTAAAACCCTGGTATAATTTGCAGCCACTTCAGAGGTTAGATAGCGCCTCCTCACAGTTCGCACCGAACATGTTAGTCAAATGGTTGTTTACCAAAAGTATCACCGTATCATAGGTCCTCATGTATCTCGTACCTAGTGTTTCTTTTTAGGTTTGTTATATTTCAAATTCTATATTTATTAAGTTATGCAGGATTGTTTGCACAACAAGGCTAAATAATTATATAAATGTTTCTGAATCTAAATAGTGGACTTTGGTAGAATTAAAAAATAAGTGTAGTGCTGGTCTATGATGACTAGTATTTAGTGCTACTATCATCTAGTTTTGATTCTGGTTCTGTCTTGGTTAAATCCTGCTCTGGGTCTGGTTGAATTGGGGTTTAGTTCTTGTGTCTTGATGCAGCCCCGACTTTGTTCTGCCTTGCTGCTTATTTAAAAAACTAGTTTAAGGTGTCCTGAATATGTGATATATATTTTTCCCTATATGAAGTCATTCCTTTTTGAACAAAACTAAAAACAGAGCCAATTAATCTTTCAGTCATTTCTGACCCCCCCCCATACACACACACACACACACACACAATCTCACATAGGGCTGTGTGATATGACCAAAATCTCATATAAGACATCTATCGTCCCGATAACGATATAAATCACAAAAATGTAAATTTTTCTGTAAATTTTGTGAATCTCGGGCAGCTCGACTTGCTTTGAAGTGTTTCCAGCTGCGCGTCCTTTACCCGGAGTCGAGTGTTTTAACCGATGCATGAAACTATACATTTTTAAACATAAGTTGTAACGGCCGCCGTTTTCTTTGTATTTATTACACGGCGTGCTGTGGGGAAAAGGCTGTTCTAACATTTGAGTCTAAGGTTTATTTTTTAGCACCTGGCGGCTCTTTTTTACTTCTCATCTGTAAATAATCTGCTCTTTCACGTGATTCAGTTCATTTTGAAAAGTCTTAACAGGATCTTGAGCTTTATTGTGAAAGGTTTATGTGGAAAATAAAGAAGCGGACGACGCGGACACGCGATGGTTTTACCGTCATTATTGCTAACGACAATGCATAAAAACAGGCGCTTGTCCGTCTGTAGCGTGGCTATATTAAATATAAGAGCTGCTGATGTTACTGGGCCTGGAGCACGTTTTCTCATGATAACCTCCCCAATGTGCGTAGCTTTGCACTCAGGTCCAAAACGCGAATTTAGTTGAATTGAATTCTTCCCTGGGTTTAGACTATTATTTCATGTCACTGAGCATTCAAACGTTAAAGTAATTTGCCCGAATCAACAGTAACACATGAAAGTCGGTCCTACTGAAGAGGAACAACTATATACAAGTATCATTTACTTTTAAGTGGCAGAAAAATTCCAAAAGCAAAATTTCTATGAGCTTAACAAGTATCTGTTAAGGTCATTTATCTACAGTTTGCCAGATAAACTGTAAGTTCTCATTTGTTAAATTAGATATTGGATCTGAATATAATTTGAAGTTTTGCTTTTTGATATTGAGAAACGTCCTGCAAAATGAACTGAATTATACTAACTTTGTGTTTTTCATATGCTAAATGAAAATATTCTTCAGTTTAGTGCAGGACAAACACGTTGGTTTACTGTACTCTAACAGATTTACAGTGAAGCACTGTGTTGGACTGGTGCACAGTGCAGTGTTTATGTTAAGACTTAAGTTAAATCAACTGTGGTAGAGAGTAATTTGAATTTAAGCTGATAATGCTCAGATTCATTCACAGTATAATGTCAGTGTAGTCGTGGATAGAAATAAGCCAGCACAACTCATTAAACATCTTATGTTGAATTGAGGTTTTTAAAACCACAAAAAGTAAACCTCAGAGCACTACAAGCAGAAGCAGGCTAGATGATCACAGACACTACACCAATCTATTCTTAGTGATTTTTGCACAAATGCTCAACAGAAGCAATTGTCCAACAACCTTCTAATTAGTGGATGACCTGGCCTAAATGCCTTTTCATCCAGGCCTGCTGGATAGGCCTTTGTGGGTGGACTTCATCTAAATAATGTGTGGCAAAATGTTTCTTCCGCCTGTAAACGCTATGTTGAGATAAACTTCAACAACAAATTCAACTTCAAAATCAGCTGAATGATTGTGCTTGCATGTTAAAGCAGTTTTGCTGCATGATTTCAAGTGTCAACTTTTATGAGAAGGCAGTCATTTCTGCAAAAGAACCAAAATGTTGGCCTTTACCATCTCTAACCTTGAATTAAAAGAATGCTTTTTTAAAATTTTCCAACAGCGTTACTGGGAGTGTGCTAGTTCCGAAATAATCTGAAAATATTGCAAAATCAATCTTTTTTTTTGTATTCTTCTATAATTTCATTTGATTGATAAATTTGGCAACCCAAAGTGTCACATTGTTATTTTATGATTCTAAAGACTCACATTCTCTTTTACACAGGGTTACGTCTCTAAGAGACCTGGTGAGCAGGAAGTACCTACACCTGAAAAAACACCCCCTTCTAAGTGGGGAGGGAAAACAGGCCAAGGATGTGCTCTTCCTTTTCAATGGAATGGAAAAGATGCAACTGGATTTCCGAATTGGAGCCTCAGAGCTTTGCAGTGATCCTAATGAGGGACTGCCTCCAAGTGTAGTTGTGGTAAACCTGCTAAGAAAGTATCTGTTGCCTGAGGTAAGAAAAAACCAAAAGGGGTTAACTAAAGGTAGTGATTAAACAAAAAATGGCTAAAGCTAATATGTACCCCCACTCCAGGTTTTTGTTTCATTTCAAATCTGACCAGGTTCTTATCTTTTATTTAAAACCACAAGCAAAATGAATAAAAGTAACATTTAGCAAAAGAGTGAGTTTAGAAAAGTATGCTAACAATTAAAAAAAATCATATTATTTTTAATATTACACATATTACACTGAACACATGCAGTTTTTAATGCAGTACGTTAGTTAATCCCAGGAGAGATTTGTTCTACTACGTTTTACATCCTATGATCATTCTCTTAGTTTTAAGGTGTGAACACAAAATAAAGATGAAAACAAGCGCAAAGCGACTTTAAACCGATTACCAGAGTAATTCTACTTTAGAAACATGAACAGGTAGACACGGAGGCTGCACCCTGACTGTTCATCCGTTTGGTACCTTTATGACCTATACTTGAGATGTTATGTTACTGGCAGCATGTGTCTGTTTGGATTAATCAAACAGTTAGGATTGGAAAATTTGACCAGTCGTGGCCTTAAGTGCAACTTTGACTTAAAAAGTTAATCACTTCTGTCTAGTACTGGAATATAGAAGCGCGGGATTATTAGGCAGAGGATTATGATTTCAAACCCGTTGAAAATAAAAACTAAAAACACTTCAAATACATCATGTTCTTAAGAAAGTATAACGAGTAATTTAGATCCAGATAGCTTTGTCGTTCCAAATGCCTTGAGGCAACTATTGTGATTTCGGCGCTGTATAAATAAAATTTAATTGAACTGAAGTGTGGTGTGAATTTTCAGCCTTGTTTGTTAGATTGTAAGTCCCACTGTTTGTAAATGGCACTTATTGTCTACTTTATATGTTTCACAGGCCAGCATTTTGATTACGACAAGACTGTCTGCTTTGGACTGTATCCCTCAGAAGTATGTTACTCGTTACGCACAGATACGTGGTTTTAATGACCCATCACGCCAGCGGGCGTACTTCACCAGTCGCCTTCTAAAGCAGAGTGACACTGCACATAACCAAGAGGCCCAGGATCTTGTAGAACTGCTTTACCTCAACCTCCAGAGAGAAAGCCAACTTGCTGCTGCATGTTTCCTTCCATCGTACTGCTGGCTCACTTGTGCAACCTTACACTTTCTGCGTTTTACCAATACCAAAGCCCCCATCCGCACTCTAACTGGCATATACACAAGTTTCCTCAGGCTCAATTTTGGGGGTGAAGTGCTCGGTACAGGAGCAGGGACGGACATGCCCATTCAGGAACACCAAAGTTCTCTGATGTTATATGTTGTCCGTACAGTAGGTAAGCTTGCATTTGAAGGTGTGACATACAAACGCACATCCTTCTCAGAAGCAGAACTAGAGCAGTGGATAGGAGGGAAGACAAAGACAGATGAGGAGCTTCATCAGCTGGCCATGTTCCGCACCGATGTACTAGACTTCTTTTTGGCTCCTTCCATAGAAAGTGGTAAATCTATATCACAAGACCTAAGGGAAAACAATGAGACGCAGTATGTGTTTGCTGTCCCAGCCATGCAAGAATACCTGGCAGCACTCTATGTAGTTCTAGGAGAGAACAAATCCGCTCTTGAGAAGCTCACCAAGAAAGTATCTGTGGCCATTGGTCAGGCAAGTGAGGATGTCAATGCCCTTGTTAACATCTTTTCTAAGTTAATTCCCCTCCGAATTTTTGCAGTATTCAATCTTCTTAAGCTTTTTCCAAAGCTCTATGAGAAAATCAGCAGTCTCAACAAAGGCAGTATAGCCAGAACCATGGCAGCTGAGCTGTTCCACACTGAGGATAGCTACAACGAGGATGTCCTTGACCAGGTAGAGCAAAACCTTGTAGGAGTCCATGGCCCACAGCAACAGCAGTACAGTGAACGTCAACCTTTTGAGCTGTACCCTATCTTCATGGGTGGGCTATTGCACTATGGTAACCGTGTGCTTCTCCAACAACTTGGCTGCAGCATTCAAAGCACCACTGTGGCCCAGATCACCCATGCCATTAGGAAATACCTTGTTAGAGGTAAAAAAAACAAACAACAACAACAACAACAACAAAAAAACGTTCTCTTGTGAAACAAAGTACTTAATCTGCCTACAGAGTAATGTTCTGTAATTGCTAAAGCTTTAACAGTTACAAAACATATATTTATCGTTAGAACTTCACAAAAATATTAGAAAACAAGAAACTGAACATAAAACTCAGATTTACTTGTAAACATTTATGTGATATGAGATAAATGAACTCTAAAGATAGAAATTGTGTCTGTAATTGGTGTATCGCAACCCATATTGCATATTTTCATGTAGTATGTGTTCTTTTGATACTAGAGCTTAACAAGCCACAACCACCAGAAGAGCTGATGGATCTGTTGGTCCTTCTATATGAGTTCCAGAACCCCAGACTGACTGCAGAGGTTGTAACTTCAATCAGAGCTATCCGCCTCACCAACATTCGTATGACTTCACTTAAATGTTTCATACTGAGTTCTGTGCTTTCCTGCACCCCTGCAAGGTAAATTATTATTTGAAGGAACTGGATTAGAGATCGACTGACTGTGTATGTGTATGTTATGTCAAAAGAGGTGGAAATACATCTTTTACATCCGAGAGATGGTAAAAGAATCAGAATCAGAAAGGGTTTTATTGCCAAATGTTGAGAAGGTATACAATATTAGGAAATTGCTTTGGTACTTAGTGCGAAACATACTGTAAAACAAACACTTAAATGAACATAAAAATTCAAAGTAAAAGTGCTAGGCAGATAGATGTATACATAAATACAGGTGAAATGCAGGCAAAAGGTCTCTATTTGTGCTTTTGCTAACAGTAAATAATTTGTGTTGTTAATCAAAGATATCAACCAATGTAAAAGTCTCATTAATATATTAAATGAGAGTTGTGTAATGGAAATTATTATCATATCTGGATTTTATGTGGATAGACATGATCCAACTTCAACCTTGGCAGATTAGTGTCTCTGTGGTTGCAGGAATGTGAAAGACAAAAAATGTGTCACCAACCCATCATTATGCATAATTACGAATAAGAGAAATGGTATTAAGTGTTGTAATTTGTGACCACAGAAACATAATTCATATGTAATTTTGCTGATAGTTAATTATGGTTAATTGCTGAATAATGATCAGAGTATAATCGGGTATAACTTTAACTAATATAACAAATAAGAGAATATAGGCCTAGAATAGGCCTCTCACTGAAAGTTACTTCCTGTAGTTCTTGCGATGAATAGCAGACTTCATCTGAAGATTCGGCCTAGGGAGTTTACAGTCTACAAATTCTGGCAAGTAATGGCAGAGAAACAACCATTTCCCAAAACTGTGGACCTAAAAATTGGTTTTGTAATTTTTGGCCTCTAACCTACATCTGTTGATGCCATTGCAAACTGTTATCGCAGACAGTGATTTCTGGAATTCCTGAGTCTGACTCAACACTCACTTATGCAGAGACATTTTGGGTAGACGGCAAAAGAATGAGATTTCTAATATAAGCAGCAGAAATAAGGTTTCTATAAAGCTCTTGGCCCTATCTGCCATAAGGAAAGGGTGAAGAGTGCAATTATTCGATAATAGAGTCACTACACAGCATCCCAAAATGTTTGCCATTGGGTCATAGTTATTACTTCAGTTTTAATAGTGTATATTGTATATATACTGCTGATATGAGACTGTGTATGTGGATACAAAGGAGCTGTCTATTTGTTTTTCGTTATTGTTTTTATTTAACCATCTTGTGGTGCTTTGTTACAGTTACTACCTTGAAGAACTGGACCTATCCTCCTGTCTCCTGTATAATGACACGCTTCAAATGCTGTGCCCTGCCTTCAGACACACATACAACCTCAAGTGAGACTTGAAACTTAATATATGATCTTGTTGCTTGCAAAAAAAAGCAACCTGAGTTCATGATGCATGATGCAAATTGCATGATGGTGATGGTACTATTATAGCTACTAGAACTGCTTTTATTTTGTGTTGGATGTTACAATGGCATGATGCACTTACCCAATGGTAATTATGGTAGTTTCATTATAATCAAGCGTCAGATTCAGAAAAACATGCTGCAAAAAAGTTTGAAATATTTGATCCCCTACAACCCAGCTCCCCTCAGGGTGCCCTGCCTGTGTGGTACTGTTTCTCTTCTAAGGGTACAGGATGAGTTGACTGCATTGAGGGCACAATAGATGGCGTTATTAACTGTAAAATCTTGACCTTATTCCGTCAGCTAGAAGACGAAAATGGGTTATGAATGGGTCCAGCATTACACTGACCCATACACATACCAAACACATACCAACATTATACATACCAGTATGTAGTAGTGGTTTGACTTCAAGCTTTTTTGTAAAAATAAAAAAATAAAAAAATAATTAAAATAAATAAATAAAATTAAATAAATGAATAAATTGAAACATTTTTATAATATTGTAATAAATTATACTAGTACATTGGAATACAACATTTATTTCTAAATTCTAATTTAATATATAAATTCTAATTA